TGTAAAGGCTGCAACAGCTTTTTTTTTCCTCAATAAAATGAACAAAAACTGAAATTCAAAATATTAGCATCCAGCAGAATACGAATATTTTTACACAAACAAAGAGGAATTTGTCAACGATTCAAGTTTTGGGGTCGATACTACTTGTCTTGTTTCCTTGGGGGAAATCAACATGCATCATGGGAGATGTAGTTTATGGTAACTGTGGGCTTGATTAGAATGACAATTAGAAAATTCGAATTTTGAATTAAGCGGCATGTGTATTTTATACAGTACACACACAGGATTTGACCATTGCCGTAAACCCAGTAGTATAGATTCTTTACTGTAGACCAGTGTTTCCCAACTTTTTGTTTTATGGGGACCCATATTTTAAGTTACAAACTTACGCGACCCAAGTCAATAGACATTATTCGTAAACTCCTGGGAAACATGATGCGAGATGAGCCCCCCAAAAAATCTATTGCGACCCACCCTAGGGTGGCGACCCAGTCCTTGGGAAACAACGCTGTAGACCATCGATGCCTTGGGTCTGAAATCTGTGGGGCAGAACACGACGCAGGAGACTTTAGAATGTTCTCCGGCATTAGCGGACTTTAACTCAGAAACACTGTTCTAATAACTGGCATCACAGAGCAGATCAAACCAACAGACACTACACCCAGGATTTCTCCCTCCTCGCTCACCCACGTTCCGTGAGAGGCCACGGGGGACAACGTGAACAGCAATAAAAGAAGATGAGTGAGGGATTTGGATAAGACACCGAGGACCACCCCATTATATGAGCAATTCCCCATAAATCCTCATCAGCATGACAGGGATTTCCAACCGAGCTTTATCACCAGCTCAGGCACGGCTGCAGTCTGGTGGGAAGAAGAAAATCACCAGGGCTCATTCGTGTGACGTTAGTGTCACGGAGGTTTCTGCCACAGTCCGTCTGACACCGAAGAAAGGTCAAAGGTCAACTGTTTCTGTCAGACAATGCAAAGCAGGCACGTTTTAGGGCCAGGAGGTCACAATACTCAAAGTGATGGGAGGACAGAACAGCATAATGCCGCTGGTCACGAGACGACGACGAAGTCCAAGGTTCTGTTCACTATTCACTGAAATCGGCGGAGGTTCCGCCGCACGTCCTTCTACTCCGTTCTCCCTGGAAGCCTATGTTCTGAAGTACTTTCCCCAACCTTCTTCTGCTCCCCCTTCAGGACTCCACAAAAGGTGCTTTATTGATTGACGTGTCACTTCCCGTGATTGCCCACTGCAGTTAGATGTCAGCGCTTTGATCAAACATTGCAAAATTAAAACCAAACACATTTGCGTTTGTACGTGAATGTTCACTTCAAGAGCTCGTTAAAAGACTAGGAATATCATTTTGTCCATCTCAGGTCCTGGATTCCATTTTAAACCCCACACACAGTAATTGTCACTTTGCTGAGAACGGAGCTGAAGAACAGACGAAGGTCCGTGCGAATGTACAACAACTCACACAAAAGACCAAAAGCAATTAAATATTGATTGGAGCTCTTCCAGAAGGAAATGAACTTGGTCAGTCAGCTGCAGTCGGCCGAACAGAGCACACAGATAAATGTCCCTACATGTTTTCTTAAATAAAGGTAATTATTATATAAATTAGACCGAGGATGTTCGTGTCAAACTCAGGCCCGGGGGTCCAAATCTGGCCCGCTGTGTAATTATATTTGGCCCGCGAGATCATATCAGATGTGAACTAGAGTTGGCCCGCCAGTATATAACCACCTATATACTAGACAGAACCTTGCAGTATTAGCGGTGAATGTTATAACACGTACTTTTTTTTTTGTTAGCCTGTGAAAAAAATATTTATATTAAAAAAGAACTGGAAAGGCTACAGATAAAGAGACATCATATAAAAAAATCCCACTGATGCGTTTTATTATAAATTTAATTTCTCATCTGTTTATAATATTAATATTTATTAATAATATTAATAAGCTTTGGTTGTTCTAGATGCAATGTTTATGCAAAACTAAAGCTTGTTTCCATATGAAAAAATTTAAATTTTTCAATTTAAGTTTGACCTCTGTGTAAAAGCGTGAGGTCAACCCGTGACACGAAATAACAGCTGACCATTTCATTACGCTTCCTGCGCTTCTTCTTTGTGTGTCTGTTTGAAACAAATCTGATGAGACCAGCTCAGGACAAATTAAGGTCCTAATGTGTCTCGCTGAAATGACAACAGTTTCAGACAAATTTTTATCGCTCCGTGACAATTAAACTAAAGTCGCTCGCTTTGCCTGAGCCACTAAAACAGTCTCTGGATGACAATTAAAGAGCGCACGAAGCCACTTTTTAAAGCTCTTGATGCACTTCCAAAAGAATGTTCTAAAAGAAGTAAGTCATTAGTTTGGTAATTCACTCCAGCCCCAATAAAAAGTGCAAAAAACTATTTATTTGACTTTGTTTAAATGTTTTACCATTAACATGAATTAATGCCTACAACACTTTCAGAATATTTGAAACAGATGCAAAGTAAAGTATCATACATAACCATAACCTATTTGATATTATTTATAAAGTGTTCCTGGACCCATTCAAATACTGTGGCAGCTTTGGTAATAATAATCTACTACACAGTTTAGCAACGAAAAACTTTGTTGAATGGATTTCAAAGCACATTCTGAATTCCCAGTCATTTAAACAAAAATAATAAATAATAATTATTATTATTATAATAACTGAGTCCCTTATTCATTGGGGAAATGCACAATGTGAGTCTTCGATGCTACACAGGAGGCGCCATTAGGGATATGTTTCTCTGGGACTCTAACCCAGGTCCTTCTGCGTATATAAGGCAGTCATGCTAACTGCGACATTATGAAGCCAAAACAAAGAAACCTTTTCATCTAGCTCAAGGTCGTTTCTTCTTCTTCTGCTAAAGTCATTGACAGCCCTATAATTGTGTGTGTGCGTCATCTGATAAACAACAGTTCATTCACTGAATTGTCTTTTCTTATGATCTACATGTAAGAATCTGCAGTCGGGGTCTGCAGCATCTATGATGGAAATGGTAGACCCCTCAACCCTCAAAAAAAATGTGTATATATTTCATGTCCTTATAGCAAATGTGGGATTCCAAATTTGAATAAATGCCTGTTTTGTTGCTAGAATAAGTCCAGTAAAACTCCTGCCGTGTCCATAATGATTACATTTCCTTCATTTATGACTGTATAACCAGGCATATATATAAATATTTCTCCTCTCTGTCACTTTCAATTGTTCCACGGTAATCCACTGTGGGAGACCAAGGGTGATTTGAACCAACAGACTGGACCGTGGACGTTCGGAGCAGGTGCTAAGACACAGCAGAGAGGCTTTATTAAGTCAGTGTCAGGCGCAGACGGCGGCAGAGGGAACGAGGAGCAGAGAGGTGTCAGTTAGCACAGAGTGGAACAGCAGCAGCAGTGCACGAGGATCAGGGAGCAGCTGCTGTTCTGTCACCAACACTGGCAGGCTCAGGAAAATAAACACTTTTCCTTGAACGTACACACCATTCACACACAGACGGCTAATTCAGAAGTTTGCATTTCCTTCTGGGCTGAGACAGAGACGATTTATGGCCTGGTGTTCTTCAATACAAACAAAAATGTTTGGGTTTTATGCATTCAACGGGGAAAAGAACAGAAACCTGCAGAGTCTGCTTAAATCAGCATTTCAAAAAAGGTACTTCAAGAGTATTTAGGGAAAGGGTTCGTCTTGACTCGACGTCTGAGGAGTTTTTTAAAGGTTTTACAAGGACAAACGTATCTCTAAGAATGAGAGAACGTTGATGATGAAAAACAGAGAAAAGATCTTTTTTGTACCAGTATTACAGGGACGTTGAGAATAAAAGAAATACAATTACAGGATTAAACTCGTAAATTTTTCAGAATAGTCGAAATGCAATGGGAAAGAACGTTGAATGTTTAGAGAAAAAGGTTGGAAATTTATGAGAAAAAGTCATATTTTTTGTGTTTTATTTTGTTTATGTTTTGCTTGTTTTTTTTAAAAAAAAGGTTTTTAACATTTTAAAATATTTAGGTTTCAAAAAAAGAAAATACAGAGTTTTTAACATTTTAAAATATTTTTAGGTTTCAAAAAAAGAAAATACAGACAGAGGGCAGCACACCTGCATATGATCACAGAACAATTCACAAATGTGATTATACTATAGTATAGTTGTTTTTTTGACACTGTAACAACCTATCATTAGCTCTACTGTAAGTTGCCAATGACATCACACCAAGAATGTTTCCAGGCAGTAACTGACAGAGGGAATTTAGCATTCTTTATTTTGTTTGCTCGACTCTCCTGCTGCACTGCACTGCCTGAGCTCCTGATGCACCACAGGCACATCACCTAAATGGGCTAACTCCTATCGATTACTCAAACTCACAACCTGCAACCGCAGAACGGCCCTAGGATTAGTCCCGGTCTCTCATCACAGATTAGGTTTCCCTTCATCAGACTTAACACAGTCTGATGGAGGAGGAGTGGTTTTTATGGAGTGTTTAAGGGTAAAAACCAGCAGGCTCCAGTCAGACTGATCTGCTCTTTCATTTTAGAGAAGTGGTCGAGTGGGATGCTGTCCAGTTCTTAGGGTCTTATATTAATGAACCGGAAGCACATGATCTATATATTTATTACAGTGGGGGCTGGACCAGAACTGGAACAGAACTGAATTGTGGGTAATTAATAGAAGGGCAGCAGATACAAAATACAAATTTATAAATATATTTAAGTTTCAAATGACACACACATCAATCATTTATATACACATATGCATATATATGTTTATATATATATATATATACATATATATGTGTATCGTAAATTATTCTCTACCTCCCTTCAAAATAAAAGTCTGTCTTTTCCCCCAAACAACAATAGAAAAATGCGTTTTATATTTAGGAATATATCTCGATTAATCATGACAAAAGACAATCATGATTAATTAAACAAATACAGCACAACACCCTGATTCATCTGACACGATTGGTTGACATTATTTTAATGATTGTGTTTCATAAATAACAATATCAACCGAAACCATGTATATATGCAGCGATGTTTTCCTAAAAACTGTAGTAAACGTCTCAGGACGCCACAAGAGTTTCCAGCATATTAAGCTAAACGCAGACGTTGCGTTATCAGCTTTTCATTACTGGAAGAAAAAATCGATAACGATTCTTAGAGATATTACATAATTATGCCAATATGGGGTCGATAATAAAGGTCGGCCGGTACATCCCTAACACAAACCTTACTGTGACTCTCCTGCATTATAACACATGTTTTATGATATATTTCTGACTGGACTTACAGTGCTAGGTGAAATTATATATTTTTTTGTTTTTCATGGAACCATTATTATTATACACGCTGGTAGAGAATTGTAACTATCAGGTGGTTCAATTAACCATCCTTATTTTTAACTCCGTCCCTTCCCGTTTCCAGTCGACTCAGGAGATGTGATTCAATTTTCTACATACGAAAAAAACCTTTCTAACCATTATCCTCACATTAGACAGGCTGAAATCACCAAGCGCAACATCATGTATTATGAAAAGTAATTTTCTGTCATTGTGCTGAAAATACTACAGTGACGATTGACTGAATACATTAGACAGGCTCACTGGCCTCAGTAGTTCACTCTCTTACTTTTTTGTGAACCGTAAAACTTTTTATTATTGTTTATAAAAAAGGGGCATTTTCTACATTTTCTTTCTGTATATGAGGATGGATGGAGAGATACATGGATGGATGGACGAATGGGCAGTTGGATGGATGGAAGGATAGATAGATAGATAGATTCTTCCCAGTGCACTATAATTCCAAAGCACTTGATGCATTTCCAATATTCTATAGGCCACCCACAGACCTCATTTATCTTGTATCAGAGGAATTAATTTGCTGTTACATTTCCTTTGTTGATGATTAGTGACAAAGTTCATTCTTAGAAATGTCTCTTTTTCTTCCTGTTTGGCCAGGATCGGAGGGAGAAACCTAAAATGAAATTCTGAAAAAAATGCTTCCCTGTCATTTGTGAAAGTTCAGTGAACACACTTTGAGGGCCAGAATGAGGTTCTGGAATGTACTACGAACCTTCACGTAATGGAACTCGTACTCCATGAACGATTGTGTGTGTGTGTGTGTGTGTGTGATGGTGGAGAACACAATTACACATGTCCTCAGCAGGGGAAAGGAGAACAGAGTAAGAGTTGGAGCCCGTCTGTGACACTGCTGGTTAAAAGAAACATATGCAGCGCTGACGTCCCATCAGTCTGCCGTGGAACATTAGACTGTGTTGACATTTGGTCTTTTGCATTTTTATAAATATTTGCAACTAAAAGTTCTATTTATTTGGCGTTTTAGCAGAGAAATATGTAACGGCGTTCTCATGGAGAATGCTCCATGTGTCTCCGTGCTGCGGCGGAAAACTGGAAATTTCAAAAATAAACAGTGCATAAAAACTAATCAACACCCAGTTGTCTGCTCTCCCAATCTGTATTCAGACCCAAACACCCTCTTGCAGCACGGATCATTTTAAATCAATGGACAGTAATGCACCAACAATGTCCCTGTCAGGCACACCTCCCCCTACAAAGGCAGTGGTGCTTGGCTTGGCTCAGAACAGCCACTCCACCACACACACACACACACACACACACACACAAATATACAACAACACTGAACATTATGCAAAGCAGTAAACATTATTCACACACTGGGTCTCATCTGGAAGCATCTGAGTTCCGAGGCTGTCTGCTGTACAGTACAGGTGAATTTACCATTAACCACAAAGAAGATGGATACAAGTGCTGCAGAAACAGACAGGAAATCCTGCATTACCTGGTTAGAACAAGATGGTTTTCTCAGAATTAATTACGCAGAAAGAGAAAAGAAAACGTGGGGAGGCAGAGGGCGAGGAAGCCTGAAAGGGAATGGACTCGGACACTGCCTGTCAAATTCACTACTGCACTCTCAAGTCATTCTTCACTCTCAAGTGGCTGACTGAGTTATTTAGAAAGGGATGTGTTCCGTGTGATGGGAAATCCATCTGCATTGTGATAAATATGGGATTGGGAACGTTTCAAAGGCAGAATTCATCATTCAGCTACACTCGTCACGTACCGAAAACTCAAACCAACGTCTTCTTAACATCAAGTCAGCCGACAGTGGAACTGCCGACGGTACAAACAGGCGTGGTTGAAGCTTTTGTAACATTTAGTCGGGCTATTTATCAAAGGGAGTCGGAATGAGATTGACATCGGAATAACACCTGTTCAGTTCATAAGAATACATCAGGAAACTCAAGTATTATTATTGTTATTATTATTGTCAAAAACACATAACCACAGCACTTCCCAGATGGGAACAAATATCTAACCACTGAAGTTGACGTATTGTTGTTTGCTCCTCCTGAACAGCTATGCTGTGGGCTCAGTTCTGTCTTGCAGCTCTCTGGATCTGACTGGGAGCTCACAGCTGCCTCCTCATTGTGTTCTGTTGGCTCCTGTTCCTGTCGCTCCGCTCCATTCCCGCATCTGCTGGCAGCTGTCGCTGATGATGGATACGTGGAATGACCAAACTCACACCTCACCTGAATCTAAATACTGAGTGTTGTTTCAGCCAGGTTTGCTGATCCTAATGGCTGTGGCAGCCCGATGCACCGATATGAAGTCATCGGGAGACAACAAAAGGAGATACAGTGGAACCTCAAACCCTGTTCCAGGACCGAGCTCATAACTCGAGGGACTCGTATCTCGAATAATTTTTTCCCATAAGAAATAACTGAAAAAAACTAAATTTGTCCTAACCCTCTAACAAAAACTCCTTATTAGTGCTAATAACAATGGAAAAAACATGTTTCTAATTTCTGAAAACAAACAGAAAAAACTCGATAGAGTGGTAACGCAAACACAATAAGGAAGGCTCGCAAGAAATACGTACGGAAGTCGACGAACACGTGATGTGAACGAGTGCTGGGCCACCTAGCCTCAGCGTCTGTAAGCGTGCTCGTATCTCAAATCTTTACTCGTATCTCAAAGCAAAAATTTGCTCGAAGGCTTCCTCGTATCTCGAAATACTATAATATCTCGAGGTTCGACGGTGGTAACATAACGAAGACCTGGGACAGAACTAGCTCTCGTCATACCTCTGATCCACAGAGAACATCTTAGCCATCTTTTTTCATGGACCCTGTGATGAACTGAACCTGTCCGTGGTGCGGCCCACTCTCTGCGGTGACTCCTTTAGTTCCCCCAGCGACCTTGAGAAGAATAAAGCAGAACGCGATGAACAAACATATTTGTCCTCACATATTCAGTGTCATTTCCAGTCCACAAATTCTTTAATAATGGATGTGAATAAGCACATGTATAAATTCAGTTTGAACCACCCCCACATTCTGTTAGATCAATAAATTCATCGGAGTGTGTTTGATGACCGTGACATCCCTTCACCCCGTTACCACGCAACAGCGGCATAAGGGACCGTTGGCTGTAATTAGGTTAAGAGTCCTAGCAGCAGTTTAAGGATGCCACTGACACCACGGTGCCAGTGATTTTAGAGTTGTTGCCGTTGTTGTCAGGGAGGCACGGAGACACCGAGCGTCGCTGCACACATGGGTTTGAATCAATCTGATGACAGTTAATTCCACGCAGTGATGCCTGCCTGGTTAATGAGGAGCCTGCTGTGAGTTTTATTAGTAAATTATACGCTAGCTGAAACTGGAATAGTAACAACAGAAAAAAAAATGATATTTATACTTAAAGGATAATAAAGGGGATAGAGAATAGGCAGCAGCTGGCAATATTTCTGATGCCAAGCCGGTCACCACAGCCATATGTTGCATTAGAGTGATTTTGCAAACGACAAATAGATTTGAGCTCACAACTTAGGAACATTACAATGATGGTTTAGTACACACCCAAATATAAAGGATAAATACTGAAATTAAAATTTTTATTTTATCCAGTTCTTACAGTGTGTCGTCACTACTGAAGACTATAGAATTATTTTTTATTTTAAATGCTCATCATCTACTGATAAATCCTGATCTACTTCCTGGCCACCACTGGTGTGGTGTGTGTTGTTGACAAGAGGGAAAGTTACCATGTCATTGTTAGGAAGGTTTAGCCACTCGCCAGGTTGATGGGAGAACACACTTTTGGTCACTGGTTCAAATCCAATTTTTTAAAACTTTTGTGGGATGTAAAGGTTGATAATGCATTTATCTTTTATTTACTATAGTAAATTTTAATAATTTTCTACACTCACAATGAATGTAAAAGGTCACTGGAGTACTTTTCAGATGTGAATACTGGGCCAATAGATAATTCATTATTATCATGAATACCTTTTGTAATGAATAATCCTGTGTCAAAGGACATAAAGCGCTGAGTCGTTAGTCTTAGGTAAGTGAATCACAAGTGCTAACATTTTAGGATCATTCAGTCAATCACTGCTCATACACACCTATGAGCAGTGACACTCTCTCCTGATTGGACAGTTTTAAATGACAGCTTCCACCTAAAAATGAAAACAAAGTTTTATTGTACGTGATACAATTTGAAGTGTAGTTTTTTATCTGAAGAACTGGAATGTTGATGTGCTGTTCTATTAACACCCAAACGCTGGCACAGAACATTAGTGCATGTTCCGTCCTTCATTTCCTCTGCACAGCACCGGGGGTTCATGCGGGCTCACAGGGAGCGGTGTAATAATCCCTGAAATACGGAGATGACACCCAACATTTCAAAAGCCTTTTTTGTGTTAGCCTCATTCTCTACCTGCTGGAGTGAATATCTGCTTTGTAAACACAATTTTCTGTAACCATTTGTCATTGAAATGTATGGTAATTTTTATATGGTGCGACAGTCTGAGCCATTACAGTATTATTGCAGGTGGGACTCTTACTGCTGGTTATGGCTTAAACACACTTTTTTGTGAGATAGTGATGGATACTATAGACAGTATGGAGAGTATCACATTTATAATATCTGTATCTCTGGCATTATATACATTTTTTTATATAAAAAAATATTGTTTACAGTACAGTTTGTGAATTAGCTTAGGCATTATTGTTTTGTTAACGTATTTATTCTAGTCAAGAATTAACTGTCTTACTTTAGGGACCGTTGATAAAGTATAGCTACAGTTACTGGAACTCACAGGCTCAACTGGAGGTTCTGGTTCCACATCGATCCATATTCTAGAGCAGGGTTGATCAATAAGTAGATCGCAGATGAATTGCTGGTAGATCATGAGTAATTTAAAATAAAATAAAATAAAATACACATATAATGTTGTAGTTTATAAAATTGACCATTAACTGTAAGAATCAGATCCTATTGTACCATAAAGCTAAATGCATTTCATCAGTACCACATAATAGAAGGTATAAATAAAGGATGTTTAGTTTATATGAGTTAATACATTTTGAATGGAATCCTGAGTGGAGTCTGTGAACCTAATAAACGAGGAAAAGGACATCGTCTTTAAATGAACCTTGTGACATTATCATTTACCTTGACATGATCTTGTGAGAATTCATTTCAGAAATACCCCCGTTTTGCGCGGTTCTCACATTCTACAAGAAAAAAACAAAAAGCAAATCAAATACAGATATTTATATTTATGTACCACAACCACATAGTTCATTTTTCATAAAAACTACCTGAGGAATCTTCTGCTCTCCACAGCCCACACTCTTAACCTCTGACCCCACACTCCCTGGTGGAAGTGTGCAACTCTCCGCAGAATCAATAAAAGGTTGAGTCTGGACTGTGCCTTTTGAGGTACATGGCTGCCAAAAGAAAGCAGGAGCGGGAGAAATGTAATGTATTTAGTTTATGAAAAGAAAAAAAAAAGAAAAAAAAAAGAAAAAGCCAAAGGGGTTTTTATTTTGTTCAAACTGTTGCCTCTCTCATCTCTCATTCTTTCACTCTTTGTAACATTTTTGAACAGTTCATTTTGTAAATAGAATATCAAAAAACTATATCAACTATGTGCAATATATATATTTATATATATAGATGAAAGAAAGTAAAAATAAAATATACAATAAATACTTTTTAAAACATTTTAAAAAATCCTGGCATAAAACCATAGACTCGAACCTAAATGTTTGGATAATGGAAGAATTCAAAGACACCCAGGGTATTGCCAACAAATAAATCTGTTTTTCGTACTTATTTTTCAGGTTGGAGGCTGTTTTTTTCAGGACTGTATTTGTTTTGCTCACAGCTGATTTAACCCGTTTTTTTTTCTTTCTGACACATCATTAGGCCACGTCAATTACTAAATGGTGTGATCAGCAATGTTCTGTGAAAAGTGCATACATTTTGGTTCACAATGAATTCCACGGTGTGCCTTTGGACACATTTGTCAATAAGTTAAAAATATATATATATATATTTTGGGTCATTTGAGAGGGAATTTAAAGTCACCACTGACATTATGAATATAAACAGAGAAAAGCCATGGCATTTTTCAAATCTTAAATATGGGTCGCGGCTGAAACTGCTTCGGAATCACTGCTTCAGATCACACGGCTGTCCTAATCCCTGATGTGCGTGTTTAGGCTGCAGAGGAAGTTCAACATGAACATGGGAGGAGAAGAGAACATGAAATCTCTATCCATTAAGACCATCAGTTACCACAGGGGATTCAAACCGCCGATCTCCCTCCTGTGTGCCAAGAGTAGGTTTGACTCATCTCATGGCTTTTACGGGTAGTTTTGAAACTCTAAATGTAAATAATTGAAACTGAAAAAGCAGGGTTCAACTCTTCTTCTACTGATGTCTCCATCAACAGAACGACTACAGCGGACCTTTATTAGTAAACACATGCCTCGCGACATGACAGTAGCTCAGAAAATATAACACAGTTCAATCGGTGGAAATACATTTCAGCATTGACGCTAACAGGCGACCAACGGTGAGCCGTTAGGTGTGAACTGCACATCAACACCGTTTTTGTCACTCCGTTAAACACACAGGACAAATGAACCGAGAGCCTCTTGTTGCTCATTAACCACTTGGACGAAGCGTCTGTATGTGGGTATGTTTTGGTGTGTGGGCAGAATAATGACTGACTGAGCGAGCAGCCAGGTGTACTACAGCCAAACAGACTAGCTGTCGGGGTTGTTTTTCTGGTGTGCATTGTTTTGTAATGTGTTTCAAAGAGTTATATAATGAATTAAAATGAAAAGTGTGAGAAATATGAAGAGAACCTGCTCTTTAAAGACGCAGCGACTGTACTTGATCGGCGTTGTAAAGATCATTACTTGGATGCGAGAATAAAGCAGGAAGCACGAGAAATGATCCTGCGATGGACGCAGAGAACCAGCTCGGAGAAGGAGAGCAGTGTGCCAAATGAGGGGCGGGGACCCTTCGAGGTCAGATATGTTCTGCGAGATCCTGACGGAGAGCGCCTCAACTGTCACGTCTTGAAAATAAAAACAATAAAAATGACCACGACGTTACACCTCCATTAAGACAGTGATATCAACGCACCGCACCATCAAACACTTCCTAAAAAACTTTATTCCTCTTTTTTCTCTACACTGGACTTTGAGTTTCCAATTTACTGCTTGTCTGATTTTGCCACTAAAAAAAAAAATCAAAAAAAAAAAAAAATCTCAAAACACAGAAGATGAAGAACAATTCTGGTGTGCTTGTAAAACCAGTGATTCGTCTGAAGTGAAACACACTGGCGTGACACAGCGTTTGGATCTCCTGGTAGTTAAACATCAATCATCAGCAGCAACATACACTGAGAGGCTTACCTTCTTCTGCCTGTCAGAGGAAACATGATACTGCTCTGTGCTTATGAAGTACGTACAGCGTGTACTTCCTTCGCTCTTTGTCATGCGAGGGTGACAGCTGTACTCTCAGTTTAGAGGGAACACTAAATGGCTTGGTAGGGAATGAAGGTAAGCAGAAGGTCGGGAGATTTTTAAAAGGAGCTTCTCGATAATGTTTTATCAATTTTTTAGTATGAATTTTATTTCCAACATGTAAATAAAAAAGAAAACAGGTCTCAGTATATACTATAGGCTGTATGTATATGTATATTTCAAAAAAGCAAAGTCAAATCACAGCTAAATCATAACAACTACATGTTTGAAAAAGCGGTAAGAAGAAGTCTTTCTTTAGCTAGTTCATTCTCTCCACAAATGTATAGCTCAGTGAATGTGACCTAGAAACCACGTTTCATTCACATCGACTGTATCAACCTTGAACACCAACACATTAACAAACACTATTTCACAACTGAACTAAACCACTTTCTTAATGATGCTGGTAGTGCAGGATATAAAGTTTGAAGGGCTTAAAATAGAAGTAGAAAAAGAAAAATGTTCATCATTTATTGCTGGCTAATCTACAGAAAGCCAGAAAGAAAAACACAAGACACAAATTTCTAAAGGGGAAAGCCAGAAAGAAAAAAAACACAAGACACAAATTTCTAAAGGTGGAAAATAATCAATATAAAAACAACAGTATTTAGCAGCCAGGCTCATCAAATGCAGGTCAGTACAGTACAGTACAGTACAGTACAGTACAGTATAGTACAGCAGATCACCTGACTGACATCATTTTTAAATGGATTACAAATAACTACAACCACCTGACTGACATAATTTTTAAATGGATTACAAATAACTACAGGACAAGGGCTTCACTGAAGATTTGACAGAATTTTTTAACAGGTTCTTTGAGCAGTGATGACTGAAATCCACCAACACCATGAAGCTAAATTTCAAGTCAAACCTCTGCATGCTGATCCGTTCATTATTAACTCCATCTTATTATTTTCTGTTACACAGAAATCTGTTTTTAGTTTCTGGAATCATCTAAGTTAATTAGTCATAGATTAATAACAATCCATTTCAATTAGGTTAGATTAAATCTAATTATTTACAGCACAATTCATCATGATTTAATGTGTTTTATCCACAGCTGCAAAAGATCTAATTCTTGAATTTGCAGAATTATAGCAAACGATATTTGTAGTGGCAATCAGGTACCTCAAGACGTCTGCAAAGACGACTGAATTAGAAATAATCAACACAGCAGCTGATGAGGCCCACACAAAAGTATTGTTTACTTGCCACACATTTTAGAAGTGCTATCATGCAGGGGGGTGTGGCACTGGAGAGAAAATAAGGCAGAGACAAACACAGGTCCATTCAGGAGAGAACACTATTATCTGGCTGTTTGGGAAAGATGGACTGCTGGACCTTAATGTATCTTAAAAACAGTACGCAACATGGGAGGGAAAACAAAGCAACATTTGCTCCATCTCTCTGATGGCACTGTGCTGCGCCTGCAGTCTCACAGAGAGGACTCCAGGGAAGGACTATTCATCACACTGCTATTTATCAGGTCGCTAATCAACCTGATAACCCAGAGATGTGCCTGCTGCCTGACTGAGCCACCCTCCACTCCTCACTCCCCCCCCCCCCCCGCCCCCTTCTCTGCTGCCACACTCAGAAACACACAGTCAATCCTGGAACAGCCTCAGTAACACGGTGGTTTCATATCACTACGGGAAACAACATTTGCCGTGTTTTTTTTGTCTTGTTTATTATAATCACTTACAGCTACTACGTACCATTAGCTTCCTGCTAACAATCGACTGAAGATAGTATTGGATTTGTTACACGACATATGGAAAAAGAAAAAAGAAAATCCATTCTACATATTGCTAAATGCATTAAACAGTTTTAATTTTTTGTTGTCTGCCTGGTGGCGTTGTTGTGTTTGTGCGTATATTTTTATTTTTTTTAGAACCTTTGTGTGTGTCTTCTTTTTTTTTTTTTGCACTTTTTCACTGTACTTGTGCATGCAGAACAATAGATCTGACTTTCATTAGTGATTGGACAGCTCGATAGGAATGAACACAATTAACCCTGTGCTTCCCACGCATTTCACACACACACACACACACAGGTTTAATTAACCTCCACTGTACAAGAGTAGCTGTGGACTGAAGTCAAAGGTCTCTCCGGCAGGCAGATGACGTCAGACGACATGGATCTGAATCATATATGTAATATTTCCTGGTGCGTTAGCACATGAGGCCATTACGGCTGCACTGTGAGTTGCAAAGTAAAGTATGCATAGTAATGACGCATTAGATAAAAACATATATTATCCAGGCGCTCGTATGTCTTCAACTTCTTCTAATCGATTCTGAAAAGTTACTTTTGTTATGAATTAATATTCAAAGGATTTCTCCTCACACACACACACAAACCCATTTTTGTTCACATGCAGGCACTTTGCTGAAGTCCTTGGAGATCTGTCATCCTTGTAAAGAACCCAAGGGTACGGTACAGACGAATGGGAAACAATTGTGCATTAGCTTTTTAAACCGAGGAAAATGTTTTGACTGAGGAAATTAGGCATAAAACCCATTACATTACACTGCCATCCAACGAACCGCAGGTAATACGACCTGTAGATGAAAGGCCTAGAGAATAGGACAGAGGTTAAAAAGATTATCACTAAGGACAGAGCTGACCACACAGAAAGACGAGATCGCTACCCACGTCTTTGCTCGTCTTAAAGAGACGTTAGAGTCGTGATTGTCGATGAATTCATCAGAAAAGATTAATTTGCTCCTGTCCTTACACGCGGGATGATGGAACGGCAAATGGAATGCTGCCAAAGAAAAGGTTAGGCCATTTTAAAATATCAAAGTATAAGATGTATGATTAATGTCTGTCGGGGTAAACTGCTGTCGTAAATGTTCGAGGGACAGTTTAGATCTCTGAGGAAGCGTCGGGTTTGTGTTGAGGTGATCGTATAAAGGCATCGTCGTAACGTTGGTACGATGCATTCAAACACCGTTCCATTAAAAAGACAAATGTTTTCCTGACAGACTTTGCTTCTCACATGTGGAGAGACCAAAACATAACTACGGAGGACGTCAGAAGTGCTGACCTAGCACTTCTTCAATGGGGTGCAGCGTCGCCGTAATGATGAAGTGTCGTAAATTTACAGAGGCAGAAAATGGGTCGTCAAATTGGTTTGGGTTTGATTTTACAGCAGGACTGTGAATCTCAAACGTGATCTGAAAACTATCATTTAAATACCGCAAAGTATCTGTCTTTGTTTGTCTACGTAACAGCGACGGACAAAACAGTTACATACTCTTCCACTAGGGGGCAGCAATTAGCCACAAAAACTGGAATATCCTGCAAAGATATCTGGGTTGTGTTGAACTAAACACGCAAAGGTTTAATTCGTAGTTAGAGGATCAATACAGTACTTTCTTGTGACATTTTGACTGAATTAAGTTGGATTTCACACAGAACTATTAGAAATATTAATTTTGTTATTTACACAGATTGATTTAACAACTAGAAAGAAACAATTTCAGGCCTAAGGCATGTACAAATATTTGTACCGGAAGAAATATGAATAACCTTTTAAATAAAACAATTAGAGTTGAGGGGTTGAGAAACTGACATGGTGGTATAATAATGTGGAATTTAATCTAATTGAATGCCTCCGTTCTTTTACGTAGACTGACAACAGTAAATGTATCTACTACAATGAAAGGTTGCTAATGCTAACTCTTTTGTCCAGCTGATTGTCCTTTAAAAAAATCTGGTAAACATCAGCTATTGGATGGTTCAGGACAAAAGTTTTGAAAAAGGTAAACAGAGGTCTTGGAATAAATATGCAGAAATTTTACAGTATGTGTCCCAAAATATTTCATTTAATGATGATGAAGAATATTATGTTTTTATACTAGACACTTAAATAGAAATGTCATTTGGATATTATTGTCTGAGGATTTGTTTTCATTTCACATTGAACACGACCACAGAAATATTTTAAAAAAAAAATTACTGCATAAAATTATTATTAAAAACAAAAGCCACAGAGGAATTGAATACAACACAGTGACATTCTGTAACATAATCAAGTATGCTCTTGGTGATGAGTTCAAGCCCCGCAGCTACAAACACCAGGCAACAACACAACAACATCGACTGAGGCATCCAATAGTTTTCTCTACAATTGGCTTAAATCAACTTGAAATGGAGTCATTTGGCTGTCTTTGGCTGTGCAGGCTTATGCCGGTCTCCGGGAGAAGGCTTGAGGGGATTTTTATGTCTGCCTCCCTTTCAGTGCATAACAATAAAAGTATATAGACTCAGACTTGCTTCAACTTTAAAAAAGAAAAAAAAGGAACTGTAATGAGAATAGCAGCAGAGTGTAATCCATCCTGTCTGTCCAAACTAAAAAAGGTTAATGGTCTAAATGTTTGCAGGTCTGAACTGGAGGGAAAAACAAAACTCTCCTGCTGCATATTTCCCACAGCAGCCAACAGTGTGGTTTCATTTTGTACAGAGCTGCTGATCTAAATTATTTTTATATATGTGTAATGTGGGACTGAGGCCACTAAGAGTACGTGATGGGTTAATGGGATTGTACAGTATGAGCCCACCTTTACACAGGCTGGGCTGAGGGAGTCACTACAGACCAGTCACTTATATCCACTTCAGTTTAACACTGAAGTGTCTGAGTACATCAGAGGCTCACAGTGCATTCAACTGCTCCTCAAAACGTATGCAGCGGGAGGCTGTGTGTGATGGACGGGACTTAAGGCAGGTTTGATTTAAAAGTCTGACGGGAACAATTAGGTGGGCACAGTCAGAGGGGCTATTACTCAGTGGAGGATGAATGGAAAGGCTTTCTTTCATTCACATTAACACAGCTGTAAGAGAAGCCCACGGAGCTGTGGCTAAAGAGAGCGATACTCCTGCAGCTCGGCAGGCTCTTCAAATCTAAAACAGGAGCAGGGTTTATATTTAGTACCTTACAATCAGGAAAAGTGGATGGACCTAAAGACTGCTACGAGTCTCCGACAGTATACATCCATATATAATATATAAGACTGTATATGATTGGTCTTTTCCTTTACACCCGCTTTAACCGGTTCATGAAAAAATTAGGTTAATCAAGGGTTCAACATAATTAATAGGTCCAAATATAATACCAATCAAATGAAATAGAAATAATTGCCTGAAAGTGAGAAAATGATTTAAAGTGATTTAAAAAAAAGACATTTGTATAACACCAAAAAGTCAAGATATTACTTAAATGAATCATTTGACGATATGAAATGTAAAATTATTATTGTAGTATTCGAAGTATTAGACAAACTATAGGTCGAATAAGATATTAACCAAAAAAAGTAATGATTTTTTTTTTAATGTTAAAATACCACACTATTAGGAATAAATAATGATTTTTTTATGTTAAAATACCACACTATTAGGAATATAAAATAAGTAAAGCATAAATATAAACGCCATAATGATGTAAATAGTGGGTTTTATCACCATACGACTAGATGATGGAACCAGACTTTCTTAATACAGTCACAAACCTAGTCTTATCTACGAAATGGGAATATTTCACAAAGTTTTGGAACCACTGTAATATAGCATTTTCACTATATACTCAGTTTTTAATATGTGCTACTTTAGAATATAATAATTAGGTCTTTAATATGAAATATATTTTTCGTTATTTATTTATTTCATATTGCGTCTTAATAATTACAGGCTTACATTCCATGTATTGAAAGAAAGTTTCAATTTTTTTTCATGCCTAAAGTTGCAATATTTCTTTAATGTTTCCTGCATATATTCCAGTAACATTTACTTCCATCTTAGTGAATAAAACGGATGAAAGTCCACAAATGAGAGGAGCACAGCAAGAGGCAATTAGAGCAGCTGCAGTATCTGTAGGACGGTCTAATAGGTCATGTGCAAAGGCAGCAACCAGAAACTTCCAGCTTCAATTAACACATGTGCCTGGTTGCATATCAGCTGGCTGAAGGAGAGAAAAAGAGGAGGAGGAGCTGAATGGGTCAATCTAACAATGTGTGGTTAAAGTGTCCGTCTCTGAAGGAGACTCTTCATTCCAACACATTCACGTGTTTTGCTTTAAAACCTCAATAAACCTGGTTCAAAGCACCGTACCTTTACCTCCTCACTGAGAGACAAATTAGGAAAATATTTATATTTAAGATTAACTAACTCTGCAACACCTAGTAGGGACCCGCCCCTCACTTTGGACACCACTGCACAAAAAGAACCTATTGGCAACTTGTTGGATAATGATCCAAGTTATTACTAAGTCTACAACACGGGGTCCATGACATACACAAATACATATATATATATATATATACACATACAGTATACATATATACTGTAAATATGTTGTATGTATTATTTTATTTAAAAAAAACAATCAGACCTTTATTTGCGATTGTTAGTTTGGTGTGTATGTATAAACATATATATACATATATATATATACATATATACACATATATACATATATACATAAATATATATATATATATATTAATTATATATAATTTAATATATAATTGTTCCTTTACCTATGTACTGTGCATGAGTATTACTGTGTACAGTAGTACTGTGCATGAGTATTTGAATAGTATTGAATTAACCACAATATCATACATCATAGTACCAACCACCATGGGAAGTTTCCCGGGTGAATTACTCTGCCAAAACAACAGGATGTTTAGCAGTTTGACGGCGCTGTCACTTCCTGCTCAGCTCCACCGCGCTGCTCTTTCTGCTGCTGTTTCATTATTTACACTATCTTAAAATAGAGGCAACAGCATATCACTACAGGTACAAAACCTTACCTGTCAAACGTTTCACCAGTGCAGGATGTTTTCACTCTGCCATGACGTATCACACAGAGCTCCACACATTAGTTCAAATCCCTTATTTTGTCTTCTGACTTCAACTGCTTCGACAGGACTTTGGGCTGAAATTAAAAAAAAAAATGCCATGGATGGATTTGTTTTTTCTTCTTTTCACATTCATTCACATTCATTTACAAACATCAGCAAACACTTACTGCATCCATGTTCTTCACTCACGGCTATACAGGTAAAGCGGACCTCTATTGCGTTAGCAACAACTAAACAACCGCCCGCAATGCTTAATGAAATATTTTCATAAAATGTGTCACTCCGCTATCTTTTGATCAAAAAAGTTTACATCTCAACTTAACTAATAATTTTGCTGCTGTTTAATATCCGTGTAAATAACGCCAAAGCTAAGTTCGCTACCACGCTGCGTTAACGCTGCGTTTACGTACCACTTGTGAAGTACAATCGGTTGTGCTATCTTTGGCCAGTAGACGGCGACATTCTGCGGGATATAAAATTAAAAAATAAAAACAGCTTATTTGGTCACAATGGAGGAACAATTCTGATGTTCTTTCTGGACTGAGACGTTGCCAAACAACAACAACAATAATAATAACACTTTTGTGATGTTTTGATTAAAAAATATGTGGACAACAACATATTGTAAATGTTTAGGCAAAGAAAGTGTATTGAGTTTGTTAGAAAGGAGCTATGAGAAAATATGTTACACAAGACGGGTAGCTCTGAGCTATTTTTAATTCATAACAGTAGCTCTCGGAGAACAAAAGGTTGGAGACCCCTGGTGTACAGTTTCTGTCAGCTACCATTGGAAATCCTCACCCATAACTGGCACTGATATAAATGTACACCATCACCTCCAGTTCATTACATCAAATCCCTATAAGTCACTCAAATGAATTATGGTTATAGGGAGTTGAATAATGAGCAGATGATTAGGAAACGGCAACATCTGCAGTCACCAATTTTTCAAGGCACATTTGGGTTTGTCAGTCACAACAATTAAGACGAAAGTCTCCCTTTTCTTCTTCTGCTTCTTACTACTAACATCCATGCCTCGTCCATTTTTGACAGAGACACTGTCTCTAAACTGTACAAGTCTCACTACTGCCTTATAAATCTTCTCTATCAACTTCTCTGCTATCCTTCTGTCACAAATCAGCCCCGACACTCGTCTCCATCCATTCCACCCTGTCCTGCGCCCGTGTCTTCAGCTCTCTCGTGCACTCTCCATGTCCCTGGATGGCTGACCCTGGGTAGCTAAGACATCAACCTCATTCACCTCTACTACCTCGAACTCCTTGCATCTTCATCATTCTACTCGCCTCACTCTCATATCACACATATATTCTGTTTCGCTCCACCTGACCTTTACTCCTCATTATTTGAAAGCAAATCTCCCCCTCTCCTGGTTTCCTTCCACCCGCTCCCTGCTCTCACCACATCTCCCACAGTGTAATATTATATATTGCAATATGTAGAAAAGACAGACGTCCAAGTCGGCATGTGAGGCAGTGAGTCATGGGTTCTGTTAATATGCGGCACACAGCTGTGAGTTCTGTATTTTGGGCACATCAAAAACACGAAGTGCATCACCTGTAGCAGAGATGTGCAGCGCCACCATGTAAGTGCTTCTACAAATTGATTTCTCAGTGTTTACTGTGTCAAATTGTTGTTTATTCTGAAGTTTGCATCACACGTAACATTGAACTTTCTGGTTCTCTCTGGTCAGAAGCAACTTCAGGACACCGTTTAAACTCATAAACTCAAATTTTAATTTAATTTTGGAATTTTATCTATTGTAAAATGTTTTCTGTTCCAGTAATGCAAATTGTTTTTACTTGTACTTGTGATTCTACAAATCTGCCTTACACACAGAAGGTCCTAGGTTCGAGTCCCAGTAATGTTTTCACAGCGCAGTATCATGTACAAAGATTTATTTTACATTCAAAACTAAGCTATGATTTAATAAACAATTTTAATTAATAATTTACAAAAAAAAACTAAATTAGCCAGAAATGTCACTACTCCCCTGCAGTACCCTCTGCCCCCCCGTAATCAGCCTCGCTGAAGCTTTTGTGGAACCATTTCCAGGGATATTCCCATTTGCAAAAGTTGTTTTGTATTCTGAAAATTCCAATAGTTTTGTGGGGCTTTTTTGTAGAATAAATGCCTGTGTGCTATCTTACTCTCTGGTCTAGTTTATTTCAGATTAGCTTTAATCCCCTCCCTCTCGCATTCATCGTCAGTGTTTGCCTTGTTGCTCCGTTGCCTCGTCCTTTAATCCGTGAGCGTTCCCGCTCTCTGTGGTGTGTTTCCTCCATGCCATTATACTTGCTTTTGTGCTTTGTGGATTCCATTTCCATCGCCTATACTGTACAGTTTGAGAGCCAACATTTTCCCTTAGTCGACTCTCAGCATGAATATGTTTGCAATAAAAACCCCGCAATCCCAGACTGAAAACTACACAGTCACGCCAGCCACGAGTTAAAGACTATCTGTGTTTGAAGAGCTGACAGATATTTGACTGACACTATTTATTTTTCACTTTTTCCCAGATGCAAATTCCGATCAAGCTGCGGTCTGTTTGCCCTTGGCAGACACGACAAACACATGGATGAGCGATACTGTGCAAATATAAGAGAAAGAGAACTTATTGCCCTCAGTCTTTTTTTTTTAGGACCACCATTTTTTTTGTTACAATTGCTTACAACAGATCTTAGAGCTCACATCTCCTCCTCTGTGACACTGAGCCTCAGTTTTAACTGAAGTGTGTGTTCAAACTGGAGTAGACTGTCTGGGGAGGGTCTCTCTGTAACTGCCCACTTAAAAGAAGCATTACCATATATAATGTTACACATCTTTTGGCGACACACACACACACACACACTAAAGTATGCAGATGAATATAGGACAAAGAAGAAATAAGAAAGAGATAACAAGTGGATGAGAAGAGTGTGGAAGAAAGTGTTTCCAGCCCCACAGCTACTGATACACTCATGCATTACTGCGATTAGCATTTCTATTCAGCTAATGCAGTCTGCTGCTCAAAGTGATGTGTGTTTACATTCCCATGACTGCATTCAGTGTGTGTGTGCGCGTGCGTGTGTGTGTGTTCCTGGCATAATATTGTAGAAATAATTTAGGGTAAAGTACTATATTGTGACACATTGTCCTTGTGGGGATGTTTTGCAGGTCCATACTATTTCAGTACTACAGAGATATTTTGAAGTTTATGTGTGTGTATGTGTGTGTGCGCAGTTAAACTATTTGTTTTTAAGAACCTTCTTCTAAGGAAAGGTGGTCTATTTCAGGACCAGGTTTAGAAACAGTTCTGGTGGAAAGGAGTATGTGCAATAAATCTGCAGTTAATAAATGTGCAAACACCGCAATTTGTGTATGTTCATGGTATGCATCCATCCGTCTGTCCATCCATCTATCTGTCCATCCATCTATCTGTCCATCCATCCATCTATCTGTCTATCTGTCCATTCACTAAAAAGCTGGTTTGTACTGGCCTGTTATATTTGCTATAAGATAACAGGCATTGAATAGTAGGTATAGTATTCAGATTCTGAACAAAAGCATATTGCTTTTGTTCGTTGTGTAATAATCCACACATTAAGAAACAACATCACTCATCTGCAGCCGAACTTCTTATCCATTTATCTGTCTCAAAGTGCTAATGAATTCTGGTGAACTTTATTCTTAAATTGGAAAAGTCAGCAACTTAAAATATGTCATCTAAATGAGCATAAAAAACACATTTTACACGCAGATCATTTAATAGGTAAGGATTTCCAATCAAATATGTTTGCGTTTGCGGTTCAGTGAAGACCTTTTTGACAGCCAGAGCCACAGCAAACCTAACGCTTCTTTCAGAATATTTGATTAATTCCTACTTTTTGATCTTCCATGAAAGAAAACCTCACTCACACCAGACTGGTGCATATAAAAGGAAATAAGAACCCAGTAGATCCATCACAGCCTGCCTGGCGAGTTAATTTGCTGTCAGCTATTTTATTTTGTTAATCACACCTGGGCACATTTCAGGTCACCACTTCCTGTCATCCTGTGTTCTCTGCCTCAGTGATTACCTCTGTTTCTTGTTATTTCTCTTCCTCTGCATCTATTTATTTTCTGTCCTCCCATGGTCCTGTGTACCAGTATGTCCACCTTGTTGTGAACCAGCAGTGACTGGAGTACTGATTTGTGGTATCGATGTATATCGATACGCGTACGAGTATTGATTGAGTATCGATTACGCTCATCTCCTGGTGACTGATCCATTCATGTCACATGACCACTGACCTGCAGAGAACAGTGAAGTCCACTAGACATCTTTAATGTCCTTTAATGGTAGCAATTAAACTGTTCAGGTTTATGAAGGAGTCATTTAATTTCTTATGACTAATATGTTATGAAAAATACATATTTCTTGTGGATTTTATTGGGCTAAGAAAATTCTCACAAATCTGAGTAATTATTAATATTTTTTAAAGTATCAATATCGATAGCGGTGTTGAAAAAAATGGTCAAAAAAGTCATCGTTATCATAGCATCGCCCACCACTATGAACCAGTACTTCTAACCATTCATTGGCAACTTTGTAGCAGCAGTAATAGTGCGGGATTCAAACCTGCAGCCTCTATTAACCAGCCCGGTCCTCTTGTCACCAGGCCTGCCCATTCTATAAACCATGTGATGCAGAGCCTCTCAACTGTTTATCTATGTACATCAGCTAGTTATCTAAGCCACCCTAACTTTTTTCTTCTCGTATTGTGTCGTGCATTTGACTGCTTTGTTACCGTCTCCTATTGCGACACCAATCCAGCGTCAATAACACCCAGAGACCATTTGTCACTTTAAAGTGTGCTGTCAGCCTCCAGCTTGTTGTGACACAGGAGCTAACAAAATCATTTATAATGTTGACAAAGTGCAACCCTCCATCTATGACCATTTGGATATGTCAAAAAAGTATGCGTGAAAATTTGCATGTGTTGAAAAATGCTGTCCATTAATGATGAAATTGTATGTTTTGCATATATTGTTTTTTCCAGATTACAAATTTGATTCAACAGATAAGAGAATATATTCTCTATTACATTTAGATGCACGATGATGAGCTTAGCTGAGAATTCAATGGTAGTTGACCTTCAAAACAATTGTCATGGTACTCATATTTTTTGTTGTGGCCTCAAACAATTGTGTTCTGTTTGATGCAATGGTGTTCTTTTTTACAGTTTTTACATACTGTGTCTTTTGTTGTTTATGGAAAACTAGTTCAACTGCATACGTGTGGGCTTTTCTATTGGAGTTTTCACCAGGAGGAAGTGAGGCCAATTTCCTCGAGACATTAATAGTGATTAATGACCCTGGTTCCTTAATGTGATAACATTCAGGTGGTGGTTCAGTAAAAAGACTCCAAAGATCAAGAGCCACTGCATTAATACTTGTTATGTCCCTGACAAGTAGGCTATCATT